CGGATAATGCTCTTCCTCAGCGGTCATTATAACGTTTGGTGCTTGCCGCTGACCCGCCTTTCCTGAAGGCATACCCGCACGAGTCTCCTTTTTCTTGTTAAGATGAACTAACTCCACACCAAATGAATTTTCATCCACATGTAACCTCTGCAAAGGGGAAAGCGGCTTCTGCGTCGGCTGCTTCTGGTCTTCTTGATCTCTCTGCGAGCTAATTCCAGAGGCGCTCCACTGACTCCACAGAAAGTAGTCACTCCATGTGCCCGAATAAGGCTGTGGCGCGCGCACGAGCGTTGACTCCTTCTGCTTGTTTGTGTTACTTGGCGCCATGAAGGATGGACAGTTGCCAGAAGTAAAGTTGTCGTAGTCACTGCTGCGTTGCCTGGCCAACTGCGCCCGCACATTCCCCCGCGGGACGCTGCCAATGATAAACGTCCAGCGTGGCATTGAGGCATATTGCACAACATCATCGCCATTCCCACCGGCTACCGGTGCGCGGTTTAGGGGCGAGCCCTCCGCCCCAAGGGAACTTGCATCGCGCAGCACGGTGAAGACGGCGTTTCGCGACGTTCGCGAAGACCTGTTTACAAACGTGGCGAACTGCTGCTGCAGCATACGCTCCCTTTCACTCGAATCCGTCGAGTCACTCTCCACGTCTTCATACTCGCTGACCGACTCGGCAGAATTGTCCACGCTTTCTTTTACGCGCGCATCAGACGTTGACAGCGCTTCCGCCTTCCGCAGCGCCCTGAGCTCGCTCCATGGAACAGACGCCTGGGCCAGTGGGCGTTCGTTAAACAGAGAAGATTCCCTCTCAAGCTGACACTCACCACCGCTATATCCGTCATCAAAGTCACGCATCATCCATATGCCGGTGTTGTTTTCATCTTCCCCGCAGTGTACAACTGCACGTCCCCGCAACTTCATCTCGCCGGTCTCACCCCATGTGGCACGTGGCTGCGACTGTCCTCGTTGCATCGTAGGCATGGGGAACAAGCTGCCATCGTTCGTCGCGAAGAGGCTCCCCACGCCCTTGGAACGGAAACGCTTGCTGCTCACCTCTTCCTCATCCTCGTCGCTGGAGAGATCCGGCGATTCCAGGATGGGAATGCCTTCAAGAACGAGCCCATGTCCACGCCCCGACCGTTGAAGAGGCGGTGAGTGTTGTTGCGCACTGTGTTGTGACATTGTCTCTTCCTGCAGTAAAGCACCACTTGCTGTCCCACCAAAACTCCGTTCCCAGTGCAATTCGCGCGGTATCCCTCACCACACCTTTCCCAACGCGATGCGGATGTGATCGACTCGCACAGACACCAGCGGATGTTACCTACCCAGCGCGGCACTTACCAGCAGCACTTCAGATGACAGCAAAGAAAGGAGAAGGGAAGAGCACAGGCACTGGGCACGCATCATCAGCAGCAAAGAAATGCCAAGTCATCGCGCTCATCCACCCGAGAGCAGCAGGACCAGCACGGGCCCAATAAGCCACGGAGAAGCGTTGGCATTAACAATGAAAGGATGGCAAGAACACGGACCACACATTCACATGCCTCAGCACCTCATTCGCCCTTCACAGTGCCCCCACCGATGGCAGCCCCTTGCTTGGTGGGCGCATCGGGCACAAAGGATTAAGATAAAAGCGGGAAGTAAATAATGGCAGAACAACCAAAGCGACACATCACGGTCCTCGGCTTCACCGCATGGAGGCGGTGAAGCCAGGACAGCTTAGGAATCAAACAGGAAGCGAAAATAAATTTAAAAAAAGAAGTGATGGTGGTGACTGTAGAGGGAGGTGTGGACCAGGTGATATATGGAAGAAAAAGAATAAATCCGAAAGAGCTGTGTGAAGAGGTTAACAGACCCCTGCACCAAAACGCAGGACATCGTACGCTTGCGCATATGTTGATCCACTAGATGAAACACCTTCCAACTCCTGCTAGCACCTTTGAACATATTGTCACCGTTGGATGGCGTCTGAGGCAGGCTGGATTAATTGACACTACGAAAAACACATTCAAATCACACAGCGTCGCCAAAACAATATAACGCACCACCCCAAGCACTTATACGCTCTCTCCCTCCATGGCTGCGCGTGGGCCACAGCTGCGTCACACCACCAGCACCAATGGTGGCACCTGGGGAGGATAAACGCCCGGGATACAGCAGCCCAACACGTTCAGCATCGAGAGGGAGCGCACTAATGAAGGGCTCACAGTGGCTTCGCAGATTCCCAGGGGTATGATCACGTAAAAATGAAAAAAAAAAAAAAAACGAAAAAAATCAATATAAAAAAGGCACCAAAAACACAGAAATACAGCTCTTTAACAACAAAAGCAAAAACCGCCTTTAAAAGTAACGCGGCGCTTTGACGGCGCTCCTACGTGTTTTTTTGTCTCTGTGCATTTCGTAGTCACAGAATAGTATTTAAAGTCATTTGCAGGGCTTCGTTCACATCACTGGTGACGTCAGTCCTGCGACGGAGTGCCCAAGTCTCACACGCCTCCCTCTACTGAACAAAGAAACCTGACTATCCTTTCCGACATGCTGTCATTGGAGTGCACAGAAGGTGTGCTTTCTGGTACGCGGTGCTTTTAATGTAGGCCTTTCTTTCGTGTCCTCTGATGTGGAAGTCTTCTCGTCATCCAATCGAGCAGGCCGCTCCCTGGTCGGCCGATCTACCGCCGGCCTCTCAGTGACGCAAGTGTCCTTCAGCGACTTCAGCTTGTCATATACCCCCGCACGGAGCCCATCCTCCCCAGACGTCTTCAACATCGTCGCCAGGCGTAGGGGAGAGACCGGTCTGTTCTTCTTATTTTCTTCCTTTTTTTGCTCTTTGTTCCCCCCCGGCAACTGCAAGCTGTCCAGCGGACCGTGTCGCTTTCCAGTCCACGTGCCATGCAGGAAGTAGGAATCACACACGTCGTTCGAGCCGTGCGACACCTCGCTCTCGTTGTACGCCTCACCGATCCTCATGAGGGAGGGGTATTCAACAAGCGTGGCGTTGGTGGGGAAGCGGCTGGCGTTCCTGTCTGTGCTGGCCCGCGTCTTGCTCCGTGAGACCGCACGAGGAGCGATGGAGGGTAGTGTGCCATCGATGTCAGAGTCGCGCACCCATGTGCTCTCTTCTGAGAGCGTATGCGTCTTGGGCGTCGATGCCACCATTTCCGTGCTTTGAAATGCACTGTTGTAATTTCCGTTGCGTGACGTTACTGTATCTGCCCCCCTGCTGCTTTTACTTGCTGTTGGGACTTCATCCGCCACCAGCTGCCCCGAGCCGAGGAAACTCGCTTGCTCATACCCCCATGATGGGGACCTCTTTTTGCGTAAAGTACTGGTCCAATGTGAGGCGAACCTCTTCTGCAGCTCATCCTCATCCTCACCCTCACTTGAATATTCGGAGCCGGTGTCCACATAACTGGCTTTCGAAACGAATAACGATGGTTTCACTGCCTCAGGCAACAGTGTGGTAGCGAGCTGAGTGCACTGAGTCCCACGCGAGGAATGCGCTGAGCGTCTCTTGAATACCGAAACCGTATCAACCATATTATCATCATCGACATCATCGCTCTCCTCATCCTCATCGTCCACATAACCCTCCTTGTTATGCACAAACAAGGAGCATTTTACGCCTTCACTGTGGTCGTCATCAGAGGATACCACCAGATGTTCAGTCCGAATCACACTTCTCTCCTTTTGGTGGCTGGCAGATTTTCTGTCTTGTCGATGGCCTCCTCTCAGCCGTTGCCGTACTGGCCGATCTCGCAATCGACGTCGAATTCGTTGCGGGTGTGGCTGTGGCTGTGGCCAAGGCAATGGCATTCCCATTGGGGCCCTCGGTCGATGCTGCGGAAACACACGCCGCGGGGGTGGAGGACATGCGCGTACTGGAGGCCTCCACCCGAGTTGGGGACGGAAACGGTTGTTGTTCACTTCGTCGTCGCTGGAGAGATCCGGCGATTCCAGGATGGGAATGCCTTCAAGAACAAAATCGCATCCACGCCGTGGCCGTTGAAAAGGCGGTGGACGTTGTCGCACACCGTATCGTGGCATTGTCCCTTCCTGCAGTAAAGCACCACTTGCTGTCCCACCAAAACTCCGTTCCCAGTGCAATTCGCGCGGTATCCCTCACCACACCTTTCCCAACGCGATGCGGATGTGATCGACTCGCACAGACACCAGCGGATGTTACCTACCCAGCGCGGCACTGACCAGCAGCACTTCAGATGACAGCAAAGAAAGGAGAAGGGAAGAGCACAGGCACTGGGCACGCATCATCAGCAGCAAAGAAATGCCAAGTCATCGCGCTCATCCACCCGAGAGCAGCAGGACCAGCACGGGCCCAATAAGCCACGGTGGAGCGTTGGCATTAACAATGAAAGGATGACAAGAACACGGACCACTCATTCACATGCCTCAGCACCTCATTCGCCCTTCACAGTGCCCCCACCGGTGGCAGCCACTTGCTCGGTGGGCGNATCGGGCACAGAGGATTAAGATAAAAGCGGGAAGTAAATAATGGCAGAACAACCAAAGCGACACATCACTGTCCTCGGCTTCACCGCCTCCATGCGGCGGTGAAGCCAGGACAGCTCAGGAATCAAACAGGAAGCAAAAATCAATTTAAAAAAAGAAGTGATGGTGGCGACTGTAGAGGGAGGTGTGGACCAGGTGATAAGGAAAATGACCCTGAATGAGCTGCGTGAGGGAGAAGCATGCCTGACCCACACGGTTTCCTTTCCCATAAACACGAACAAAAACAACAACAACAACTAGAAATCTAATCACCACGTGCCCAAGCGCCAGAGGCTCGGTGTCAGGGGAAGAGCGGGATACTACTGACTGCGCCCCGTTCAGGGGCCACGGACTTGCCGTTCGTCTCACCCCTCTCTGTGACGTCTAGTTTATAGAGGAGGCTCCACGTTGGTGAGTCGACACGCTTGAAAGTCCGCGGATCCGCTCGCATGGTGACATTGTGGGTCTGAGGAACGGATTCCCACTCGGGCAGGAAGTAACAAGCGGACCCCTGCGTCACACCTCCCGTGCCAAAGCGCATGCCACCTCTGTCTTGGTCGTCGTGCGCGCTGGTTAGGGGTTCCTTGCCGTTGTATTGCCTCCCCTGCATGGGCGCACGGTGTGATAGTTGGCTGTGCTCCAGCCATTCCGAGAACAAGAACGCATCGTCCGGACGCATGTTCTCCCCCTTCAAAGGGAACTCCGTATAGCTTGTGTTATACTGGGATATAATGGAACGTCCTTCGTTCTGCTGTTGGCCGATCGTATAGTTTCCCTGTGAGGAGTCGCTATCACTACCACTGCTTTGCGTGTCGTCACTATCTGAATCATCATATGCCCCCAAATTTCGATTAAAGCACTGAATATCAAATATGGAGCTGTAGGGATTCGAGTATCCCACTGAATGGATTTGCGCTCCGCTAACGTCGGCGCGACTACGCATCAAAGAGCAGCCATTGCTGCTTACAGCGGAAGTATCCGGAGGGCCATTTAGTGTGGAATAAATACCACTTGCAGACTGCCCGTGCAGTGGCGGTAAGACAAGCTGTGCCTCTCTCACATCCTCCTCAGTTTGGGGTGCACCAGAGGATGGAAAGAAGAACGAGCCTTCCACTCCTCCATAAATCCCCACGTTTTCTGTTTCATACGCCGATTCCGATTGAGGACAATACATCGAGAGATCAGAAGGCGGCGCTTTATACAAGCTAGTGGTCGTATCGTTTCGCGTTGCATTGACGCAAGTACCACCGAATGGCTTTCTCACAATGGTGGGCAACCGCTGATTAAATAAAGAGTGGTAACCATTCCGCAGCGATTGCTGCGGCTCTCTTCTTTGGGGCTGGGAGCCATCTATATACAAAGACCCTTCACCCACGCCGCCTTCGGAGGGGATCTCGTCGGGTGACAAATTGTCATCGTAATAAATGGTACCATTCCGGTAAGATCCCCCGGGAGCACCTTCTCGAGGGCCCCCGTTGACCCGCGCCAGAGCCGAAGGGCTCCCAAAACTCCGAGACGTGCCCCGCCGTCCACGACTATTCACATCATCTTGTTCTCGATACTTCTCCGCTGGCACGTTCTGCCCCGTGCTATTCTCCTGCACACCCTTCCCCATCTGCTGCCTCTCTCTGCGGACGGTGGCGGGCGGCGGGGACTCCGTGGAGCCGCTCGACGACGCGTCACTGCCGGGGGACTCCGAGCCGCCCCCCCTTTTGCGTACACTCCGCCGCCGTATGAGGCCCATCACAGCGGTATAGAAGCGTTTGGGCCCCGTCATACTCAACGCATTGGGCCGACGTGGCATTGTGCTGCCACCGCACCTCTACCCTGACTTTATCCGCCACACTCCGTGCACAGACGCAAGAGAAAATGTGGGAAGACAAAGATGTCTGCCGCACTCATGGTAAAAGTGTCTTCCACGAGTAAAACAAAAGAGAAATAAAACCGATCAGCAAAGGCAACAAGTTCTCATGGGGTAGGAAGTTAGATCCTACAAAGAAAAAAAAATGGGCCACCGGCGATAGCGGTCTGCTGCCCAATAAAAGAGATAATATACGTTCTTCCGCACTGTACGATCATTGAATGGAAAAAGCAAAAAGAAAAAAAAAACGCATAAAATTTACCCGTGCGTCGCTCAGCTGCATTGTACATAAAAAGGGCAGCAGAAGAGCAACAGACCGTCCAATAGTTAAGTATACGGGGCTGTAGGTATATGACAATACAACACTCGCTCATTACAGATATAAAACCAAGAGAAGAACGGCTATTCGTTCTCCTGTGTATAAAAACAAAAACAAAAAACGAAGCTCTCTACATCGTTCAACGGAAGAAAGTATCGAAATTCCCCTTCTCCCCTCAGGGGTCACAGGAGATATAAGAGAAATTATTCCCACGGTTCCACAATGATGACGGTGGGGGATTTGTGTCATTGCGAAAACGATCCATCAGTTCAGCGTAGTCACTCTCCAGCACGTGGTGAACGACAACAGACTTTGGTGTCACCAAAGAGTGCCCAGTCTGGTTACGGGCATCATTGTAGCGGCACGGGGCAGCTGCAGCAATCACCACGGAAGGGTACTTCAGCTCATTTAACAGCACCCGCCCAACCATACAATCCTCGTGGTCCATGTGGATGGAGCGGAATTCACTCTCCCGCTCCTTGCTGTAAGGTATAGAAACAAGACGACGCAGTGGCTCATATGACACGAACTGCTCCGCAACGTCTCTCGCCATTGTGTAACAGAATCCAATCATGAAAAAAACATCAATATAGCGTTGCTCAATCAAAAACTTACTCATGCCATAAACACCCATATAAAGCCCGCGGCGTGGCATAATCCGCAGGTCGGCTAGGTACTGTGGGACACGCATAAAGATATCATCGTCACCCTTCGCAATGTAGGGCACCTTGGGGAAGAGGCGCAGCGCCATGTCGAACCACAGGAACGTCTTGCGGCTCATGCCGATCTCTGCCTCCATACCCCAGAACAGCCCACTGGCAATTGTTCTGTTTGTCGTGGGCAAAGCGTCATTCATCGACAGCGCAATCACATCTTGCCACTCCGCCGCCTCCTCCAGCAGCTCTGCGGAGTATATGTAGTTGTGCGACGGGTGCCGGCCCATGATGTACAGCACCAGCATCGCGCCTGTGAATCTGTTCGCCTTCGTCGCAACGTCGAGGAAGCGCCAGCACGTCGTCCGCTGCAGGTTGCGGCGCCTCCGCCTCGCATCGATGTCCACCGACGGGACGCCAAACACAATCAGGAAGTCACGCTCGGCCCACGTGCGGAGAACACTCGGTGTAATGTAGCGCAGCGCTGGGCCATCCACGCCGAGGGCACGGTGAAGTTGATGCGTGTCAAGCTCCGCACCACGGTCAACAGCAATCATGTCGAACGGATCAACCACGAAAAACACTGTCGTCATGACGAAGAACGCAATGACGAGACGCACTGCCGTCCTTTTCATCGGCACAGCATGATTTCCCATCGCTGTCTATGTCTTCCTGGATAAAATAAATAAGCCCAGAGCAGAGTGTGTAAGGAACCCCACGCAAGCAGTGGCGCAGAATGCTGCCAGGGAATCCACAGCGGTGCAGCGCCGCTGATGCGAAACGAGAAATGGTCACATGCAAATCTAGCGAACACGGCTGAAGTCCGGCCCGTGGCGAGGGAGGGGTTAAGGTCAGAGGAACATCCGTTACCATGCATCCCAATCAGGAAGTCAGCAGAAAAAGAAAGTGAACGGAAAATTGTTAAGTAGCCACATAAAACCAAGCGTAGAAACAATCAGGAACTATGCGTGTGCAGCCGCAATGCTCCATCCATACCCAAAACAATAAAGCATCTAGTCTAAGCGAAAACATATATGCATGCGACCTTCACTTATCAGAAGTACCATTGGCGAGGGGCAAAGGGGCTGGGCGGGACGGGGGCGAACCAGCCGCCGGGTGGCAGTGGCCACTGCAGGCCTCGCTGCAATCTAGCGGCTTTATTCATGCGCCGCCACACCCCACCAAGTCTTGCAGACACGTCAATCACCAACCGTGAAGATATTGCATATATAAAACCTATATCCGGTTACATTCACTCTCCAAGCACACTACAAATCATAGAATAACCCGTGCTCTACGCTGGCTGCGTCTATATGGATAAATTTGTGTGGAAATATGGAGTTCCTGACAAAATAATACAGAATACATGAGATGCTTCCGGATGGTCCCCAACCAAAAAAAAATATATATATCTATGCCTGTACCACCCACAGCTTCCTCGACATTCACATTGATAGACCCAAACACAACAAGAGAATACGGCCTATTAACTTTAGTAAAAAAGCACCTTGATCTCGTCATCGCAGTGCCATAAACCAACCAATCTCAGGAACTGAGGAAAACACTCAGAAGCGTTCTTTCACTACATGCTAAGAGAATAAATCGTCCAGCATGCTGTTAAGTCCGTAGCCGCCAGTTGAGTTGACTGCCGTTGTGTTACTGTTCCTCTGAATTCCAGACGGACCATCTTTCAGAATACTGTTCATGCCATAGCCGCCAGTCGAGTTGACTGCCGTTGTGTTACTGTTCCTCTGCGTCCCCGATGGAGCGTTGTCCAGCATGCTGTTCATGCCATAGCCGCCAGTCGAATTGACTGCCGTTGTGTTACTGTTCCTCTGCGTCCCCGATGGAGCGTTGTCCAGCATGCTGTTGGCCCCGTAGCCACCGGCAGTTGAGTTGCCGGCCATGGCGCTGCTGTTGTCATGCACTCCGTGGGATGTATCGTTCAGCATACTGTTGGCCCCGTAGCCACCGGCAGTTGAGTTGCCGGCCATGGCACTGCTGTTGTCATGCACTCCATGGGATGTATCGTTCAGCATGCTGTTGGCCCCGTAGCCACCGGCAGTTGAGTTGCCGGCCATGGC